AAAATAAAAAAAAAAAACTATATGTAAATATAAAATTTATACTTATGTATTTTAATAAAATAAAATTTGAAACCCCAATAAGCACAAATAAAACAACAAAGTTTGTGTCAAATATGAAATATAAAAATAAGTACTAATGTATAAAATATACATAAATAATAATTTTTTTATAAAAACAGTATGAAAATAACTTTAAAAGAAGATTGCATAAAATTATTGTTGTCAAGTTGATATATAAATGTCAAGTTTGATATATAAATTATGAATTAATGAAGTTTTAATGCCGATTATGCGGATTTACTAATTTACCCCAGCTTTTGATTGGCTGTACTATTTATTCACTTAGCGGAGTATTTATATTATTAATCAAAGTTTTGTACTCCGATAGTGAAATTTGGGAGAAATTAGGGCATCCCGATTATGCATAATATTATCAATGGCAAGTAAATCGAATATAAGTAAAATATTTGTACATTTCAAAAACATTGGTCAAAAAAAAAACTATTACTATAATTAGATAAGTTGCAACTATTTTAAAATAATAAAATCAGTAAAACTAAATAATATAACAATTTTAAGCATTGAATTAAGTATAACGAAAGAAACTCACATAATTGCTTGGTGCTATACCAATTGTACCATCAGCTTTTTTTGCTTGCCACCATTTACCCTTGTTATCTACAATGTCAAGAACTTCACCTTTGGTAAATGAAAGTTCAGTATGATCTTCGGGATTTGCTTGATCTATAGAATAACAACTTTGTTAGACATATTAAATGAAAGTTTGGAACCGGTTTTATTTTCATATATTAAAAACCGGTTAAACCCGAATTTACATGAAAAATAAAACCTGCTCCAAACTCGGAAATGATTAAAATTTGGATCAGATATAACATACAATCATATAAAGCTTTAGCCTTGTAGGCATAATCAGCATTAGGGGATACAACTACTTGATCTGGCATATTCATTTGCCCAGAGTTGAGTTGAACACCTGGAGGAAAACCAACATCTGGATGAACATTTCTCGGATTAGTAGGTTTACTGTTGATGGACCAAGAGTTTATGGTGTCTCCAACCAGGGAGCCATCTTCAGCACCGAGTGAGATTATCCAAACAAGCTAGAAAATTTTCAATAAAAGCATTAAGATGCATTAAGATTCATTGATAAATAATAAATAATAGCAATAAGCATGATAAATTACCGAGACAATAGTAATAAAAAGGGCACCGGCAGCAAAAGCTTGAAATTGAGCAAGAGAAATTCCAATATCAAAAGTAATTATATTGATTTGAAAAGATATACCAATAGCCAAAAGGGATACAATCTGAGTTTGATAATTAATTAAGTTAAGGGTTTTACGACCAATAAAAACACATAATAATAATATAAACTAAACATTTATATGTATTATTACGAAATAGTCACATATGCTCTAATCCATTTACGGAAGATGAATATGATTTCAACAGCCGCTTTTCAACTTAAAGGATACAGAAATACGATAGTAATTTAAGGCATTGGTAGCGATGGCGGCAAAAATACCAATTATAATAAACAATTCATAAACTATATAAAACCAAGCAACGCCTTCAACTTTAGAAGCAGCAGCACCGGCAAATTCAACGATCCAACCAACCTGAAATCATGAGCATAAAATTAGAGACGCATATGCTTATAAAAAATCAACTTGTATGCGAGGAAAGGATAGTCGTACTGCTGCCAAGCCTAAAGTGGCAAGATAAAAGGGATTCCCAACAACTAATCCAAGGTCAAATAGCATATTGTATACACTTCCTTTTTGGTTTCGAAATTTTTACAGATTTCGAGTCGTCACAGCGGAAAAATGAGATGAAGGAAGGAAACCAAGGGTAAAGCTTGGCTATTAATCAGTAAGAAAGGGCGGACGGGTTAATATGAAAGGGAGTATATGTTTGGTAGGATTCGACCGCACTGACTAAACTGGAAAAGTCCCAAATTAAATAACATTAATCAGGCGAAACGAAAACATATACCAAAATAAATAGCTTTTATGAATATCAATTATGCATAAATAATATGATTAATTGCTATGAAAGGAAAGAGCTGGCGGATGATAATGAAAAAAAAATAAAAATAAAAAAATCCGACTTTACCTCTGTAAGAGAAAGAATAGGCTTTTGTTAAATTTAGAGCACAAAAGCGAATGTATGATAATGACAATAATCCAAAAAAGTTTGGGTTCACAGCGGACACAAAATATATGAATTGATAAATAGGATTAATCGTACAGTAACTATTGCGCAGTTTTAAACAAACTATCAAACAGTTATCAAACGAAATAATATTTGTAATAATTGTGCAGCTTCGTGCGTCGCGCGTTACTAAATATTTACTTTTTGTACTTGAAAGACAACGGATAGGGGATTCCCAATCTTTTTATATACATTGTCCGTGAAACCCATATGAATAAGAATAAGAATATTTTTTGCTTTAAGGGTAATGCTAGTTTCCAAATTATCTATGACACTACTTTAACTAAATATAGAATTATTTTGTAACACAGAATATCAGCGGATCTTTTTTGATAAATCATTTGGCTAATCATTTGGCTAGGTTTCTATTCATGTGACTTAGGGAGTGTTTCTTGTATACAATACGTATTATGAAAATTCATTGTGCGGATTTTTTATCGAAATGATAACTCACTTGGTAAGTTATTTTAATTCTGACTAATTAAAATTTTCTCTCAGATCCATTGGAACGCCCATGTTATGGTTTAATCTTTAAGTTTTCCGTATTTTATATCGTGATTTTATAAAATTGCTACGTAGATGAATTTCCAAATGTATATAAAAGGATATATTATACACGATATAAATAACCCATACCTAAGTTTATACTGAATTTAATTAATGTATCGTTTAAGGTCCTATTTAAGGAGAAAAGTTCGTTATCGGCAAATACGTGATTGTTAGTTTCGGGTTTTTTAAGTTTTGTTAGACTCTGAATTAATCTTAGCCTATCGCTATTTTTTTTTGTTAGAACATAAAAGGCAGTTTGGCAAAAGAAGTAAAAAGTTATCTTATAATCCGATTGGCAATTGTATCGGTATACTTATTTCTGCAAGTGATACGTACAAGCTGAAGATATTTTCAAAAAATTTAAATTTTGACTAAGAAACCGCCTTTTGTGTTTCAATTAAAAAATTTTCTTGTTAAATTTTGTATATACGTATATAACAGATAATATCTTGCTAAAATCCTAGGTTTCGGCCTAACTCTATTTTTTTTTTTCTTGTATTATTTGCAGAAATAAGTATATTTTATATATAAAATCAAAGATTTTTAACAATTATTTAAATTAATTTTTTATTATTTAAATTTTATAATTATTTAGAATTTAAACAATTAAGATTATTTATATTAGAGTTGTCAACAAGATTATACATTAATAATCTCTACTATTTGTAATTATATTAGTGTTCTGACAAACCTGAA